AAAAAAAAAAAAAAAAATATTAAAACAATACAAATAATTTTATTTAAATAATTTTTTATTAATTTAATATTTTTTTTGCCCATATATCTAAAATATCAGAATAAAAAAAATCAACTAAATGTGCTTTTTATAGAAAATAGTTATCTTTACTTTTGCAATTTTCATAACTTTTTTTTTTATTACAAACTTCCTTTATATTAACTGTATTAGAAGAAACAATAGTTCATTCAATAACACTTAATATCAAATCTCCAATTCTTACCATAACCAATAATAGGTTCTTAAAGTATTTAGCATATAAAATTTCACAGATCACTTATGTTTCTTTTTGAGGGACAAAATTTATAGCTCTTTATTTTATTAAGGACAAAAATCAGTAAATGCCATAAATCAATGATTTGAATAATGGAGAACAATTGTGGATAGTTTTTTATAGTTATTAATTTAAAAATTTTAATGTTTTCTAGTGAAGGACATTTGACTTTTATCCTTATCTTCCTCTTTAGAGACCTATCTTTAACCATAACAATTGAATTACTTAGAAGAAAATCATCTATTGTATTATCTGAAATATTGATATTTGAAGTTACATAAATATTAATATCAAAAGTTGAATTGTTATTAGAAACTCAAACCAGAAAAAATATTGAAAAAAATTAGAATTAAATTATTGGTAAATTATTAAAATTTATCTTTATTAATTAATTGATATATTTAGAAAATAAAGAATTATATGTAAGAGTCAAAAAACTAGAAAAAGAAAATGTTGAATTTGTTAATAATTAGATTTAATAGAATATATTAACAACAAGTTTTCTTAAGAATCAGAATAGCAAAAAAATAAAATAGAAGATTTAAAAAAAGTAATTAATTAGCTCAAATTTATGAAACCTGAACTTTATCCTATAATAGTTGTAAAATCTAAAGCAATAAAGATATCAGAATCTGAAAGTTTGCTGAGTTTAGAAAAGCACTAAAGAATTTATCTTAGGAGAAGTAGTAAAGAGTCAAAACTAGGAAAACTGGTTATCAAAAATAAATCAAAATTAGAAAAAGTAAGAGTAGAAATAAAAGTCTTAATAAAAATCATTTCTGACAAATATAAACTGAGAATAGATAAAGTTTTTTCAAGTGATATACTGTAAATAAAAAAATATTACAAAAGTTAATACTTGAATTAATAAAATTTATGATCCCATATTTTAATCCCTTATAAAAGTAAATAAATAAATGGTTAGATATTTTATCTCATTAATAGAGAGGAAAATATTAAAAGGCAAAAACTAAAAAACTAGAAGTAGACAATTGTTACTTATATACAAATAGTCAATTAAATATAAGTAAAGAAACAAAGGTTCATTTCCTTGAAAAAAATGAGATTAATTCAATAAACCTATCAAAAGAAAAATAAATATATGTTATTATAGTTGACATTCTAAAGAAATATTTTTTGACAAAATATTTTATATCAAATAATTACAATATTAATTATAATTACTTATAGTTAAAAGATTTGTTGAAATATTTGAATAAATATTTAAAATCAATTCAAGCATTTCAACTAACTCATAAATAATATTGTGATGATTCATATTTTATAACATGATACCATCAGAAGGCTTGTTAAATTGGGCATATAGTTTGAAAGAGATTTCAAAATATAAACAAGAAAAAAAAACAGAAAAGGAAAAAGAATCAACAGTTAAATTCAAAAGATAAAAAATTAGTAAATATAAGGAATTATTAATTTATTCAAAGAATAAGAAATAAACTAAAGGAGATATATAAATGAGTGAAATTTAGGAAATAGTTAAGTTAGAAGAAAAAAGCAAAAAAATCTTAAAAAACATTTGGTAAGATAAAATTAATTGGAACTAATTTTAAAAAAGTCAAGCTAAAATCTTTAAAGGAAAAAAAAAATAAGTGAAAGAAAAGAAAGAGAAGAAAGAAAAAAATAATAACTAATTTAGTCAATTGATTATATAATTTTTAATAAATTTTGTAAAATTTTTTAAACTTCCTAAATATTTACTGAATTTTAATACTGGATTTGTACCTTTTGTTGAATTTTTTACTGCAGTAATTTTTTTGTTGAATTTTTTGCTATAGTATCAATTTTTTTGCACTATATCAATTTTTTTGTTAAATTTTTTATCAAAGTATCAATTTTTTTGCTGAATTTTTTATTACAGTATAAAAAAAAAAATTTTTTTTTGCTATAATATGCAAAAAAATTTTTTGTCACAATATTGTCAAATTTTGTATTAAATTTTTTTATCATAATACATCAAAATTTTTTTATTAATTTTTTGCTGATATTTTTAATATTAAATAATAATAATCGAAAATAATTCATCAATTTTTTATTATTATATTTTATTAAATTCTTAGTTACTAAATAATACAATTTCAACTAATATATGATATTATCTAATTTCTGATTAGTTGTCACAAACATATTGATAATAGAATGTAAAAAAGTTTTTATTGATTATTATTTTTTTTTTTTTTAACCTGCAATCATGTCAAAATGGCTTGTTTTTATTAATATACTTGAAAAAATACCAAAATAATCTATAGACTTTCTCACATAATGACTAACTCATCTTTGTACATTATTCGTTAAAAGACTACACTACTTAAAAAATATAAGGAGTCCATTAAGCTAGTTTGAACTAAACAAAACTAAGTCTCAACTAAATACTTTAAGTCAAATTTAGGGGATAATATTATGCTCTTTTAGTAGCTTAGCATAGTGCCTCTAAGTTAACTAGAGTTATTATCAATAATTTGTTACTATCGATTATCCCAAAAAATGATAAATTGCTAAAATTGAACTGGAGAAGGAAAAAAAGAGAAAAAAATTCAAAGCCCTCCAAAAGATTCTTTTCTATTTTACAACCTCTTCTCAAAAGAGGTCTTGTCTAATTGGGATATTCTTCTTTACTTTATTTGAATCTTAGAAAGAGTCTTTTTGTTATCATCTGTAGCATTGGATGAGTTTTTATTTAAGCATGTACTGAATTGAGATAGTTCAAGAGAAACTAAAAGACCTCAGCTTTCACCTTAGGGAGCCTTTTCATCACTTAAGAAATTTAGAGAAAAGATGGAATTTCTTTGTGCAGATACACTTCACCTTTTGGTATCATAACTGTTTCCTGAGGTCGAATATAGTCAGTTGGAGGAGAACTTCTTCTAGAACTTTCTTTTTTATATTATCCATAATATTATAGAAATATGTAAGTGTGACCAATAGATGCTTATTTAATTTTCCTGAAACCAATGTCTTTTGTATTAGCCAATCACCTTTGGTAAGAATTTGTGCTATCCAAAATTTAAGGTCAAACTGAAATAGACAAAATTTTCCAGAAATCCATAAAAGCAATAGCTTTAGAAGATGGTTTTTATTGATTATATTTATGTATTCTAATAATATTATTAATGAAAAAAAGAAAAATTATTGATATAAAATTTTTCATTTCTCTAAATAAAATATAACTAAAGTAAAAAATTATAAGACCATTAGGACAGACATCAAATTTCCTAAATAACGAAAAAATAGTTATTTGTTTAAGCTAAGATCTTTAATTTCTTATTATCCTAATTAGACAAAGTATATAAAGAAGATTATTTCTTTATCTTGGTTAAACAATAAAACTAAAAAACAAAAGATTGTAAACCATTATCCTTCTTTAGAATTGAGAATATATTATTTGAATATTGTGTAATAATATTATATCAACAAGATTCCTACTATTCTATTATTGCAAAGCAAAAAAATTATTAAAGAATTTAATTTTTTGGATAATGAAAAATACTTATTAATAAAATTTCTTTAACTAAATATGATTGTTGGAAGATATCGGAAATTATACAATATGATTAAAAGATTATATAAGAACTTAAGATTTATTATAAGTTATCCTTTTCTATATAGATAAATACAAAATCAATATCAAAAGAAAGGAAGTATTGAATAAGATATCAAGAAATAATTAAAATTATAAATAAATAAATTTTTCAAATAATTAAGAAGAAGAAGAATATTTTAGAAGAATTAATTTCTAATGAGAGAAGGTTTTTAATAGAAATTCTTTGAAAGATATGAAACAATTTTACTTTTTAATTTTTCTTTTTATTTTTATATAGTATAATTGTGCATTTTTAAATATTCTTTTTTTCTTTTATTTTTTCTCTTTTTCTTTTGTAATTTCTTGTAATCAGTTCCTTAAAGAATAATAAGCAGTGACAACTTGTTAACAATAATATATAAGTTAGAAAGGTATTTATTTAAAATTTATTATGAAGCAAAATATTATTTCCAAAGTTGTACTTAGAGATTAAAACTTATTTGAGAATTGAAAGCCATTAATGAGTAAGTTAGTATAAGATTTAATTTAACCATAATGCAATTACCCCTAAATCTATATCTCTATCAATTTTCATAATGATTAATAAATACACTATGCTGATCTGACCATGATTTTAAAAAAAAATATCTAGTTTAGACTTTGTTTTGTTTAATTCATATTTTTTAAATAATTCTTCAATTAATAATAAGTTAGTTGTCATGTGAAAGTTTGCATAATATTTGTTCAAAATACATCATGATAACTTGATTGCAATTAAAAAAAAAAAAAAAGCAAAAACAATAATTTATTAATACCTTATCACGTGTAATCGGGCCATTTCTCTACTACGGTCAATAAAAAAAATACCCTTCTTAGCGAACAAACAAAAATATAAACGGTATGCAATAATAACTGTTTAAGAATAGATATATATATATATATGTTTGTGAATTTTTTCTCCCGAAATGTCCTTTACAAAAAAATAGAATAAACCGGTTTTACAGAAAAAATAAGAAATATAGATTTTTTGGTTGCTAATCGACAAATAAAAAAATCAAGGCAGGTATACTACGACTATATAACAGATTTATATATAAACTTACAAAACATATAGTGGTTTATATGTTCATACAGTTTATCAGACTACACTCAGAACATAGCAGATTTCCTTCTATCGGCAGCCGATTTACTTCGCCTTTCAGCAGCAGCAGCATACAATTTACTAACAGCTTTACGACGAATGCGAGTGGCAAAATTCTTAGCCATATCAGGACCTTTAGGTTGACGAACTGGAAGTACTGCATCTGGGTGGACTTTCATCGGCCCCCCGAACACACTATAATAATAATCAAATATTAAATCTAATGAATTTGATGGTTTTTTCTAGAAGAAAGCTTCTTAAAATCATATCCTTTAAAGAGATGCTTGGTCACATAAAAAAATATCAACTTACCTTCTACGTCTTTCTTCTTTTACAGTAGATGGACGTGTCTGTTGATGTGATATTCCTGTGGGAGTCTGAGGAGTATAATCTTGTTGCGAATAATCGTAGTAATAATAGACATATTGGCCTTCCTCGGCCTCCTCTTCGTATTGCATTGGATACAAATCGTAAATATCTGCGCCAGTAAACCCTTCAGGGACTCCGTAACCAGGGGTTGGTGGTGTTGATCCGGATCCTTGAGAATCAGAGTCTTCAGGATGACTTAAGACCACAACTGGCGTACCTGGACCAACTTGACGATAGTCTGCTGTAACAAATCTAACGGGGGCGGGTGCGTTGCCATATTGTCTAAAGCGAGGTTGTTCCACAGCTTGAATGTAAGCTGGCTCATTATAAACGAAAGCATAGTTAGGTTGATGAATAGAGGGCGATTGAGATACTCTAATAGACTGTCTAGTATCTTTTGGGAATCCTGATTTCGACGGAAAAGTAGCAGTCTTAGGAGGGTTTGGAAGATTTAGGGCTCTATTCACTTTTGGCGGGAAAGTTGCTGTCTGAGGAACTCTTCCTAAATTTGGAACTTGAGAGGACTTTGACAAATTGAGTGGCTTTGGAGTAGGTCTAGCTGAAACTGTCTTTTGTTTGGGTACAACAGACTCATTAACGTTCTTTGGAGGGCTCCTAGACAAACTGTAAGGCTGTGGTGGGGAATTAGAAATGAACACAGTCTGCGGAGGTGAAGACTTGGACGAATTTATTTGCTGTTGTTGTGAGGCAGATTTTGCAACCTTTGGTGTCATGGCATATACTTGCTGTTGATTTGTTTGGTTTAGCCTAGGGAACTGAGCAGTTTTTGGAGTTCGAAGAGGTTGTACTCCAGCAGTCTTTGGAGTTTGACTCATATCTTGGGCACGTTCCACGTTAATAGACTTTAAGTTAACAGGTCTAGACTTGCTACTATTACTGTCCCTTCGTTTACCTTGGTCACCGTTTGGGCTACTTGTGTTCTTCCAGGACTGATTGGAGGACGGTTGATGTTGAACTTGCACGCCGCCGACTTCCATGATTTATAGTTTATTATTGTATAGGAAGAAGTTGTAATTTTTAAGGCGTTCTTTAAATTAAATGAGTAAGTTACTTATTTTGTTACAAGGGTCCTTTTTTTTTTGCGCTGACTATTGTGATTTAATTACAGAATACCGTGCGAAAAGTACTGTATAGCTGAAAAGAAAAGCGAGAATACAATAAAAGTCCAAGAGTAGATTGATTATAAGAGCAAGATGTTTTTCAATGGGAAACGAGTGACTGGGTACCTATAACGATGCAGGACCAGCCAGTGGCCCACTTGTACCAAGAAGTAATGCAAAGAGGGGTGGAAAGGTTCTTGGACAAGAAGCAAATATACTTTCCAATAAAAACACAGCAATTTTGACATTTTTGGGGGAGTTTGTAGCCCACCAAAACGTGATAATTGTAAAAGGTGGAACATTTCACAATGTCACTGCCATTACCGGTTAGGGCGGAATTAAGAGTGCAATGTTGGGCTGTGTGGATCAATGAACTATAATGTGATAATTGAGAAAATGTTAACAAAGAATTTCGGGCACCCTTTTAATAGGAAGTTATACAAAAATAGACAACATTCATCAACCCTTGTCGAAGAAAAAGTCGAAGAAGGCATTCAAGAAACCAATAGACTGGAAAATAACTTTTTCTAGAGACAAGTAATGTGTGACAGTAAAATAAAAAATCCACGATTATCGCAATTTCTTATTCTAGGTACAATATACAAATAGAATTAACCCTTAATATTGTTTTTATTTGATTGGTGGCGTTTATAAATGGCGCAGCTATTATACTGACAATGCTTATGACCAGTTATAACACTGGTGATTTCTTGTTATGACTCGCCATAACAAAAAAAAGCAGCCACATTGTCAACAACGTATAATGAAATCAATGCTATATTTAGTAGTTTTTAATGAAAAATGCGTGGATCGACCGCCTCAATATTTATCTTCCCGCGAACAGTTCCGCGCGTATGTTGATCATGTGGTAGAATTACTAAAAAAAGAATAGGAAAACCAATGGTTTTGTTTATTTAATTAAAGATTCATTTATTTTATTATTTTTTTTTTTGTAGATAATCCATTAAGCCAAATATTTTTATTATAAGATTATCATGATTATATATTTAAAGTTTAATTAATTTGCAGCAAAAAAAAAATAGGTACTATTTTATTGATAAATTTTATATATAAAATTTAAGTATAAAAAATAATAAAAAATATAAAAATTTTCTTATAAATGCAAATAATTTTTTTTACAATTAAATTATTTTTATTATATAAATTAATTTTAATTTTACTATGATATTTATATAAAACTTTAAAAATTATTAACTATTTAATTAAATTTATAACTAATAAACAAATTTTTTATTGATAAAAAAATTATAAAAAAATTATTTTATTAAATTATTTGTTTTTTATTTAATAAATCTATTTATCAAATTATTTATTTTTATTTAATAAATCTATTTATAATTATTTGTTTTTATTTAATAAAGCTATTTATTAAATTATTTGTTTTTATTTAATAAATCTATTTATTCAATTATTTGTTTTTATTTAATAAATCTATTAAATTATTTGTTTTTATTTAATAAATCTATTTATTCAATTATTTGTTTTTATTTAATAAATCTATTTATTCAATTATTTGTTTTTATTTAATAAATCTATTTATTCAATTATT